TTAGAGAAGGTTTGGGTTTTCCTTGAAATTCTTTCGATACACCTCGTTAGCGGTAAATTCTACGCTGAACTTATCCTTTTCAGGGAGAGATTTTTGTACCATGGGTGGACAAATATAAACCGCGCAGTGTCACACAACTTGTTGGGCAGCATGGTGAAAAAAGCCCCATGAACAAGCTCCTAGGCTGGCTTAAAGATTGGGGTCGAAATAATCTTGGAGAAGGTGGCAAAACCAAAAAACGTGAGCTACATATGCCAATTTCTTCCTTCTCACTCAAGTAAATGTAGGCATCATTTCAGCAAAGCCTCCACCATTTTTGGCCCAGACAGATGGTGCACCCTTCAAGGCTGTACTGCTTTCCGGTTCGCCTGGTGGGTTCCAGTTTAAATAGTAAGCAGATCGCCATTGCGTTTAAATTGATGTTACTTGTGATTGCACTTCAGCATGTTACTGACCTTTGGTTCTTCAAGTCAAATACCATTGTGATCAGATTTAAAATTAGATTGCCAAAGATTCTTCGCCTAACCTATTTTTTTCCGGTTTTCACTTTTTTGGAAGCTGGCTTGTTGGCGACTTGGCCGCTTTAGCAGTAGCGCAGCACAATTTTAGCAATATTGATTTGGAATTATTCAGGTGTGGGCAAAACAACTTGTGCAGTAATGGCATGTGAAACACCTTGGCATGAAGATAGTGGAGATGAATGCATCGGATGTACGAAGCAAGAAGAACCTCGAGCAGCAGGTATTGACCGTCTATTTTTCATTTCTAAGTGTTACAGTTAATTTATCTACGTTGTTATATACTTGTTTTAGATCACTCAGCTCACAGAATCACATCAAATCGAGGAGTACTTCGCAACCGGGGAGTCCGGAAATGGTAAACCTTTGGTTCTGTCTGTGTTTGCATGAGCTTAATTTTGTAGAGCGTAGTTTCGTGTTCAACTGGGATAGATAGGGTGTAAAGGTTCAGAAGGAAGAGAAAGGCTTGTGTCCTATCATTAACACGGGTTCCTCTCCGAGGACAGTTCTGAAATTGCAGACATTTTTTTTGACATAATCGTGGTTCTCCTTTTCTAGATGATGAAGTGAAGCACGTTCTGATAATGGACGAGGTTGATGGAATGAGTGGAACTGAGGATCGCGCAGGGGTTGGTCGTGTTTGAGATTCTTTTCCGCATTGCTTTCAATGTTTTTATTCTTTTGTTCGTTATTCTTTTGATTTAAGATTGCTGAATTGATACAAATCATCAAGGAATCAAAAATTCCTATAATTTGTATTGTAACGATCGGCAGCATCCGAAGATAAGGAGTCTTGCGAATTATTGCTTCGATGTACGCTTCCAAAAACCGCGTGTGGAACAGATCAGGGTAATTTTCGAAATTTCCGACCCTGATTTCATCATTTTATGTACAAGTAGTAGGTAGTATGAGGGTCATACTCGGTTCACTGATTAGTAAGCTGATGAGTAATTCGCTCATGGGTAGAACTTCAGAGCTGCATTTCACCATACCCTTTTAGGCTAGAATGATGTCCATCGCATGTCAGGAGAAATTAAAAATCTCAAAGGAGGAACTAGATCAGATGATTGAATTGTCAGGTAATTCTTTCTTTCATGTCGCAGGGGCATTGTAATTATCTATTGAGTCGGGATTCCGTCCTGTATAGCAAGAATTGAAGTGTTGGTTACTTCGGCTTGGGTGGAGTGGAAAGCGTGAGGGCTGGGGCGGTGGGTTATTCCTTGGATTAGTGAGACTCATTTACTATTGGCTTGAGGCGGGTGCGGTTACAAGTGTCAGGGTTCAGATATCAACACGTGTCAAAGCAGCGAGTGCTAAGGGTAGGCGCGAAAGGCGAAGGCTGTATTCGAAAAAGTCTTTTATCGTCCCATTCGGGCACGTCCAGTCCACCGTGTGACACAGTCACTTGTTAGCACCGCAAGGTTCGATACTGCTACTGCATTAAATCCACCTTTCTTCCGGGATTTTTCAATCAAGTACCCTTGTGCGTTCCGCTTTTCACTACGGACTTCATCCCTTTAACGAAGGGTCTGAAGATGTTATTTCACACCGGCATTGCTCGAAAAGGTAACCTCCAGTCTTGCTCAGGGAAAATGTGCTTATTGTGAATCCTGGGTTGTGGAGTGATGTGTAGGTACTTGGTGCTAGTGTGTTGTGCTATATATCATGAATCGATTTGGAAATTTGTGGTATCCTTCAGTGGCTGTTGTGTAAGAAGTGGGACGCAACATGAAATGATTGAAAGGGTTCACACATGCAAGTGGGAGGTCAGAATTTCAAAACGGGTATCTGATCAATTCGATTTCAGGTCACGATGTTAGACAATCAATCTACAACTTGCAATTGTACTCATCATCTGGTGGAAAAACTAAGGTGCAAAAGAAGGACGTTGCAGTTGTAAGCTCTTGAGTATGATGTAGTGTGTCGTGCTGTATTCGTACAGATGCTATAGCGCAATCAATTTAGGGACTATAGGAAATGGTATCTTGTGTGCACCACTTATAATAATAGTTTAGGGACCATTCGAAGCAGCGCGCAAGCTTTTGGACTCACGTTCCACGTTTCAAGAAAAACAGGACATGTTCTTTGTTGACTATGGCATCATGCCGTTGTTTGTTCAAGAAAACTATCCGAACATGCGAAATGACAAACACACGTAAGTCTTCAAATCTTATTGCTGGCTATTTTTAGTCTGCTGAGGACAGCGTCAAGCTATGACAACCTAGAAGACTGTTATGATCCTTACTGTCTCAACTAAAGCGCGGTCATGCGCGACTGCCTTACATTTCTTTTGTGGTCGGAGTGTGTAGTCGTTACCACATTGTGTTCGCACGACTGCTAATCGCCAACTATGACTTCTGCGTATCATCTCGGTTCGATCTACTCGTTGCCACAAAGCAGTTTCCCCGCTATTGGTGAAAGTAGTTCTAGAAATCAATGCAAAGCTAGAGACCATACCTGAAATTGATGCTACATTTAAGTATTTGAAACTTATTCGATAATCACAAGACTGTTCACACAAAGTCCTCTTGTAACAATCACTGGTCACAATCACTCATCGGTACTGCATTTAGTACCCTTCATTGGTGTCCATTTTCAAAAGCTGTTCACGAAATGGGAGATTATAATAATTTGTCGTAAATGCAGTGTGGGCTGAGTTCGAATTTGGAAACCAGAAGGTAGAAAGGAA